AAATGTATAGATGTGCTTTACACAATTGATCTATGTATTGTGATAAATTGTATGAGCCCCAATAAATTGATTAATTAAAAAAAAAAAAAAAGAGCGCAATCTTCAAGGCTGGTGTCTATTTAAACTATTTAAGCTATTGTTAGTTTTAACTATTTACTATTTTAACTATTGTTTAGCTATTTACTTTTTAAACTATTGTTAGTTTTAAAGAAGACTTCAGGGGACATTTTTGCTTTAAGGTTTAAAGATTATCTCAAGGAAGTAGTCTCCGGTGTTCTGGATTCCATGAGAATTTGAAATTCTCTTCTGTATCCCCTTGGCCCACTTTGCTTCTACTAAGATTGTACAGAATCTATGATCAAAACATTCAGTAATGGTGGCCAAGGACCACCCAGTTCTTGTGATACTCTTGACATGCATGGAGGCAATCAACCTACGCACTCAAATTCCTCCTCCTATCCCTGATGCTCCTTCCTCCCCTGTTGCTTCAGGTAAATAGAGACCAACTGGTATCTTTTAGACGATAAGCATGTAAGCATGTAAGACCCCAGCCACTACACACCAAATGAGGAGGTAGCACTGAAACCCTAAACATGCCAACAGGCCAATGAACGTGGATGTCCCATGAAACTATGACTCTAACCCTCCAAACCACAGAACCAAATGCCATGAGGAGTACCCATCTAGATAAACAGCCCCGTTAGCTGCCCTCGGGTTGTTCTTCTAAATAGGAGAAATAAAGAGGCACTGCTACAAGATCATAGAAACTTTTATTTAGCCCAAATATGAAAATGTGAAGCTATTGTTTCTTAACATATCCTCCATCTAGCCTGTCCACCACTGAAGGCAGTATTTGCATCTCTCTCACCACCCCTCAAAGAATTCGGCACGTTTCCATTCACACCGTCACAGCAGGAGTGGTAGTCCCCTCAACGGTCTCAAGTTGTGTTCCCTTAAAATGTCCTTTGACTTTTTAGACCAAAAAGATGCCTGGAGGGACGAACCAGGATGTTACAGTAAAGCTTCCCAAGAAAATGCCTGTAGGGCAGCTCTTGATACCCATAAAGGTGCATTGTCATGAGCGGAAAACAAAACAAAATGTAGCCTCATCATCCCCATCCTGGGGGGAAATCCAGACCCGCCCACGAGTGGAGCTACTGCTGCAAGTGACAAATGCCAGCGGTGTCCACTCTTCTTCATCATCAGAGTAGTTTTAATGATTTGCGTCCTTTTTTAATGTATGTATGTATTAGAATGCAACGAGGCTTAAAAGATCCTGGGAAAAGAGAAATGGACATTTCAACTAATTTTTGAAGCCCCACCCCCATCCTGGCCACGTATCTATAAAGTTTTCTGGACTGTTTCCAGTCCCCAAAGACAAATAAGATTATATTTGTGAAGCTAGTAATAAATGTAATAATAATAAAACCTGGGAGGAGGTAAAAAAAAGACCTACCTACATCATAACTGACTTGTGACTAGTCATTTACATAGAGGCTGATTATAAGGCAGGAATCAGGAACCGCTCCTTCCCAGAAAGGAGCTCACTGGGACTTCATCGTCATAACACAGGGAAAGTTCTGTTTCCAAACAGGGGCATCTTTACAGGGATTAGGACTCTGGGGGCAGAGCACTAGCTATAAGAGACAGGTTCATGCGCAGCCTCCTAGTGCCTCCACCTCTTCGTAACAGACCTTAGTCCCACCTTCTCAGACCTTCAGGATCTCCGGCTGCAAAATGGGATCAAGCACCCTTACTGCTCCACATTGTGGCGAGGATTTAATAAGATGTAACTTGCGAGGAATATTTCAGTTAATCAGAATATAACAAACAGAATTTTTTTCAGGAAATTAGGATAAAATGTGGACTTTTTTTCCCCATATGCTCTTTCATTGTGCTGGTGGTTGTAACCCTAAATAAGTAAAGCCCCGCGCACAGCGAGTCAATTCTGTCGCATCTCGACAGAGCAGAACTGCCCCTATGGATTTTTGAGACTGTAAAGCTCTGCTATGGGGATGAAAAGCCTCGTCTTTCTTCCTGAGTTCGGCTGTTGTTTCGAACTGCTGACTTTACAGTTAGCAGCCCAGTGCCTATTCCACTAGGTCACCAGTGCCCTACTGGAGGTTGCACAAAGCACCACGGAGAGCAAACAATGGTCTACGCGTGATTTTTATGTGGCGATCAGCGGCTTCCATCCAGAGGAAACATCAGTCTCGAGTCGCCCATTGCGTGAACGATGTCGTTTCGGCCTCTCGTTTACCTGCACTGGGCTTGGTCGTTGTGGAGGGTGCAGATGCCGTCGTTCTCGCAGGTGAAGTCTGTGCAGGCGTCCTTGATGGCGGGGGGTGGGATGGGCTCCGTTTGTGTAGAATTGAGATGGGAGATATCTAAAGGGCGTGGGGGAAGAGCAGGGATGGAAAGTCAGCTTTTGCCTTCACATTTGAACTTCACATTCCCTAAAGGGTTTAAGATGCGTGCGATATTCGGGAACTCCTGTAGCCTCATTCAGCCGCATTCACAGGCAATGAGGGACAGCAAAGTCTGTGAAAGCAAGACCGTGTAAGGCAGAAACCAGTCCGTGAAGGAAAATGCAAATATTTTCCACTAATAGAGTTTTGTTTTGTTTTTTTAAGTGGTAGGATTGCACCCTCTCCAATCCAGAAAAGGCAGTGCCACCAAGCCCTTATTTTACTGTCATGTGTGGGCAAGCTGACATCTACCTGCAAAAGAGAGCCGGGCCAGCCTGCAAAGGCTACAGCTTAACCACACACTTTCTGTGCAGGGAGGCTTCCAAGGATCCCATGAACTTGATCCCAACACTCAAGAGTACAAAGAAGGAAACCAGAGTTCAGGTGCAAGGGAATTCAGGGTTCCAGCCCAAGGTCAGTGGTTGTTGGCTTGGTGAAACTAATGGGATCCAACTGGTATGTTCTTGCTTTACTCTGCTTTGCTGAAGGTCAGCCTTTCGGGGATTTTAATTGTGCTTCCTTCCATCTTAAGTGGATATTTTGCTGAGATGTAAGTGGGTTTTAATAGTAAATGAGTTAAAAGCCTACTGCATAAAACAGGGAAGCCACAGACTTGCTGAAAAATGTATTCATTAGTTACCGTGGGTAAGTAATTCTACAAGACAATAGACAAATATTATTACTGCCAAAAGACAGACAGGCAGTCCCTGGATTATGAATGTCTGATTTACATACATACATCCTGTAGCGATGACTCTTAATGCCCAGTAAACTTACTATCTTAAAGTTGGAAGCTATAAATAAGCATCCTAACAAGCTGATACTACCTTGCAACACCCTTCAAACCATTACTGTTATTACTGTAGTATTATGGTAATATGTTTTAGTATATCTGAATGTGTTTTTAGTTGTTTTTTATGCATAAAAAGGTACATCATGTGCTATTTATTATGACAGTCATCTAACTAGCTGGCATCAGATATCATACCTAATTATTTCCATTTATGTACACATTTGTCAGGTTTGGGAGAATCTGACTATAATTTGAGCAATGGCCTATCTTCAGAACTAAACCAGTTGCCACTAAGATTTCAGCTTATGACAAGACTATGTGTACCAAGTAGAACTTCACTCCTTAGGATTTTCAAGGCTGTAATCTTTTGAAGCAGACTGCGAGGTCTTCCTTCCAAGGTACCACTGAGGAGATTTGAACTGCCAACCTTTTGGTAAGTAGTTGAGACAGGTGAGTAGTTGACATGTATCATATCGATGATGTAATTATGTATTATACAGATAAACATCTTTTAAACAAACCATGGATGTAGGCCATTTCCAGTTGAATTTCGTATGATTTGTGATGTTTTTATGACTGGCATCCTTGCATATAATTCTGAAGTATGATCCTTAAATATAACAGCCGTGCTTTAACTTATTTCCCATGTTCTTCAGGCTCAAGGTTACCATCTCCTGCTCTGTGTGGTGATGAGCGAATGCTTCACTCTAGACGCCTTATCGCTTCGATTTAAATTATTTTCATATTATTAATGGTTCATACTCTCCTTGACCCCCCCAAAAATCACTCACACCCAGTTCCTCCCACACCACTATCTAATATACCCCAAACTGGATGAATACAGTAAGTGATGAATGGCCACACAATAAAAGGGTGGCTTCTCTAACGCTGCTTGTATTGACATACCTTCCATGGTCAGAAGGAGGTAAACATCATTTCCTTTTATAAAGTCTCTGCTTCTCAGTCTCTGGTAGGTTATAAAGGCGCTGGTCCCATAGCCCCGACTTCTTCTGAACTGAGTTCCATTAGGGAAATTAGCCACTTCTCCTACTTTGGAAGGCCTGTCCCAAAAATAGTTTCCATTATCTGAAAAAGGCAATTTGTATTAATGGATTGTGTTCAGCAGCGTCATAGCTTTCAGTGGTAAGAAAAGAGCAGGCCATGGGAAACACAATTAGGATGGAGCTCCAATAATTAAATGATTGCTACCGACCCATGATGTATTCCCTGGCAAATCACAGGCTGGCTCCGGGGGGCTGTCCTAAAGGAACTGAGATTGTGTGACAGGAAGGACCATACCTTGCAATCTGAGTGGAGGTAGCAAATTTTTCCTAGGTGGGGAGAGAACATCGACGTTGACTGAACCGTGCAGAAACTCCCCTGACCACTAGACATTTTCTTTAGTGCCGTTTGGCGTTCATGACAGTGCTCTGAACTGAGTTAAAGCAATATGTTGCTAAGAGGGTTTGTAACACTCGCGTAGAGCATTTTATCTCATCAACTCAATTATTTACCAAAGTCCTTCAGAAGACTGACAACAAAAAGTATTGCTTCAGGGAAAAGGTGTTGACCCACTCAGCCCTGAACCCTTCTAACGGTCATTTAGGGAGAAATGGCTGTTTGTTTGTTTGAAGTGAAGACATGCTGATTGTCAAATCCCTGCACTGCTACTCCCTCTGAGAATATCCTTCCTCCCACCCTCATCACATGAAGTCCCTTCATTTTCTTTCTCTGGCACTTGGGTCCACCCTTTCAATACAGAGGAATCTCACTTGGCAGTAATATTCAGTTTACCATTTTTTATTAGGTCTCCAAAGGGCAACGGATTTTTAAAATTAGAAATGTGATCATTTATTTCTGGGCAATGCTCCTTTTGGTGACTTGAAAAACGAGGGATGATGTCACCATTGGCAAATCCTCCAGAACTCTACAACAAGAAGTTAGAATCCGTTCCCATATCCTCCCTGACACTCCAGTGCACCTGCTGAACTTCTTTCTGAGCAAAACAACTCCCCCAGTCCCAAGCTGGATTATTTTCTATAATCCCAATGGTAAGGCCAGGGAAGCATGGAACTGGAGAACTCAGTGTCTGTAACAACCTTGTCCACCTGTCCTCTGGATCATACTTGATCTTGACTAATTCTCAGAACAAATCTGTGAGGTTCTGGTTACAGGCAATCCCCGGGTAACAAACAAGATCTACCCCTTTATCTGTACACTGTGGGGGGGAGTTAGGCCCTGTGCATACGATTCTTGTTTAGCCTTACTTTTGTGCGGGGGTGGGGAACCTCTCCTCTGTCAAAGGCCATTTGGATAGTTATAGCATTCACTGATCATATTGGTCAAAAATCGAATTAACTCACCCCAAATGTGTGCGTTAGCAAGGTACCCGGCTGGTGCAGTGATTACATGTTGGGCTGCTAACTGCCAAGTCAGCAGTTCAAAACCACCAGCTGTTCCGAGGGGGAAAGATGGGACTTTCTACTCCTGCAGAGAGTTACGGTGTCAGAAATCTAGAGGGGCAGTTCTACCCTGTCCTAAGTGGCTGCTATGAGTCAAAATTCACTCGATGGCAGTGAGTCTAGTTTGGGTTCTTAACGTGCTGTCTGGAATTGCTTCTCTTGTGAGGCAAGTGATAGTAGCTGGTAGTGACGATTTCCAGGCCTGAAAGAGCGCTGGTGGCAATGAGTTTTTTGTTTCGCTTTGTTTTCTTTGGCAGAGTGCTGTGGTGTACTGAGCAACAAGTTGGCTGCCAAATGCAAGATCAGCAGTTTGAAACCACCAGCTGTTCCTCAGGAGAAAGACAAAGCTTTTGGATACTGTACAGTTAGTCTTAGAAACCCACAGGGGCCATTCCACCCTGCCCTGTAGGGTCTCTATCAGTCAGAAATGGCTCGAGGGAGTGAGTTTGGTTTGGATTCTTCAGCCAGTGGCTCACACATTCCCCACCTCTGCGTCAGTGCAAGACAAGGCTCAAAGCCTTTTCATTTTCAGCATGCACGGCAAGTAAAGGCGATTGTGATGGCCATAGGGGGTAGTTCCATGGTTTCAAAATGAGTACCAATTTAGATAGCATCAGAGGGCATGTAGGAGTTGTCGTTAAGGCAGGCTTTTGTCACCTAAGGACTGCCTATACTGTCCAGTTTCACAACTGAGGATTCTGAAAGATGGTTCACCTGGGGTCATGTAACTAGTGAAGAACACACCTTGGCTTTGAACCAACGTCCTTCAGACTCGAAAATGAACACTCCTTGTACATTTGGAACCTGTCTGTGGTTCTCAGTTCCCAGGAGTACAGACAAAATCTTCTCGATTTCTCAGGGTCCTTGCTGGCATTCCTGACTCCTCCCTGGGAGGTGCGATCCGTCCCTGCTAAGAATTTCCCCCTAAATATTGCTGGATCCTAGCATTTGAGGTCCAAAGTTCCCTAGGTACCTGGCAGTGCGGTCTCCCTTTCCCACATCAGCCGCCCCTCCCAAAGTAATGAGCATGCAATAAGCAATAAAGAAAATGAGTCACGAACCCGTGGTCATAAATGGGTCTGTAGTTACACTCCGCTGGTTGGACATACGCTGCCGAATGTCAGGATTTTGATCCAAGAGTGTCATCGTGGCTTGTTGCCAAGGGCAGGGCCACTGCAATTGATCATCATTGGCCCCAGAGATCAAGTGGAAATAGATCCCTACGTTAGTCAAATGGTTCAGGTTCAATTGAACCTGAAAGGCATAGCCTTTAGGAGAATAAAATGGAGGGCTATAGACGCTTCCATTTGGCTTGTCGATGAGCTGTGTGAAATTCTTTATGTGCCAGATATGATGAGGGCACCGTGTTTCTGAAAGATTGATGTCATCGATCGACAGGCCACCCGATGATGAACCAGAGCCTCTGATTCCTCCAAATACCACTCTGAACTTGTTGGTCACGTTCAATGTTACGTGGTAAAGTTGCCAGCTCCCAGTGGGGATCTCTGCAAAAGAGTCATTATTACTGCAAAGAAGACAACAGGCGATGGGAAGACATACGGTGAGGTGGAGACACAAGACTTACAATGGGCTTCACTGACGAGTGATCACCAAGAAAGAATGGGTTTCTCACTCCCCTCGGCCCTGGCCCATTTACTTCAAGGCCTTTCTCTGGGGTCAGACTGTACTCTGGTATATTTGGACGCTCATCTCAGAAAGGTGACCCTTTCCCAGACATGGATAAGCAAACCACAGCATCTGCTTCATGAGCGCTCTGTGTTCTGCTTATGTGCAGAATAGACAATATTCGTCAGAGAATCCTCGAAAGTGGTTATGGGGTGAATTAGAGTCTAAATCATCTGTTTTCATGGGTGGTCAACATGACCCACCTTCCTGACACTTGATTAGATGAAAGCCGAAAGCCTCTCCCTATTCAGGAAGTGCTGCAGAAGTTGAATTCAACTCGACTTAACAATCAAAAGGCCTGCGCTGAGATTTTTTTTTTTAATCTAGAAATTGAAGGGGGCAGGAGTGAGGGGGTTTCCCTTTTCCACTCTGATACATCTGATGAGATTTGAGCTAGGGGTTGAAACAGCCAGAGTGCTTATGGACATAGAAGCCATTGGGAGATGAAATGAGAGGTCACTGCCAATGTTCAGGGGCAAGGCCCATTCTCCCTGAGGCCTGTTCCTCCCTCGTCCGTTGCACAATGCCCTTACATTGAGTTAGAGCTTTTCCCATTTCATCTAAGCTAGTCCGCATCGGATCTGTATTTCTTGCCAAGAACTGACCACGGCCGTGTCAGAGACAGATAGACAGTTTCTGAAATGACTGTCACAGCCCACAGTGCACAACGGATCGTTGTTTTTCATTTCCCTACGCACGGATAAAATAAGGAGGGCCAACTTCTAAGTTGAAAAGCAGTGAGTCCATCAATCGCCTCTGCCCTCTGGTAAGTTGTGGCATTACCAGAGCATGGGAAGCCGGCCTCACGCTAAACCCACGCAATGAATGAGAAGGTTGAGAATGTACCTCTTATTTCTTTCACAAGGGCTAAAGTGCCATTCACATGGCCTGCAGAATACTCCCGGACGTAGAGGGCCAACTGGTCATTTTGACTTCCGCTGTTATACAAATAAAATTGCAAGCACTGAAATCCTCGCTTCGGGTACAGCGTTCGACTTTCTAATTGTGCTGTGGCTCCCACGTTCACGGAGCTACTGTCAAAATGCATGAAGAAACCAGAATCTGTTAAAAAGCACAAAAACAGAATTGAGGGAAACACATACTGGAACCTGGGTCTGTTAGCCGTGGTCACTGACAGGTGGCCCAGCTAACGCCAATATCTAAATCACAAAGCAGAAACTTCCGAAGTCTTGGCTCTGCATCTGGCACTTGGCAAAGCTAGCGGATGGCTATCATAAAGCAAAACTCAACCCTGTCTGTCATCTATGAAGATGTTTACTTACAATAGGAGGAGTCTGCTTGTGGACACTGATCTTTTCTTACTTTCACAGGCTGTGGGCTAAAAAGATACAGTACGCTGAATCATCAAATGATACCCCAAACAGAAAGAGCGAATGTGGTACAGAAAATACCAAACCGCAGGACCAGAAGACAGATGATGCAAAGACCCCCTGTAAGTGTCCCCGATCCTGGTCGATCTGTAAGTGGGACCAGTTACCCTTGGTAAGATGCCACAGAGAACTGCACACTCTGAAACTATAAAATAGGGAGCGAGAAATTAAGCCCAAGGGGGCGTGACTAGACACCTCCATTGGTGGCCAGTTCTAGCATCAATGTCTCACCAAGCTAACCCCTGGAGAGCCTTTCCATAGTTTCCAGAGGGCCAGACACACTGCACTGAGGGCCGGAGGAAGAAAGCCAACCTCTGTGCTGACCTGTCGCTTGTTTATAATGCTTCCCAAATTCTTTGACTTTAACTAACAACAATAACAACAGAAAAGTCATTCCACCTCTAGAAATATGAGAAGTATAGCAACCATCAAATGGGGGCCCTCATTCTAATGATGAGACAGCGAGATTCGTAGGGAAAAGGTTGGGAATAACTAAACTAGATCATTTCCAAAGTCCTGCACCAGGACCCCAGTTCTCTGCTTCTGTTGTTTACAGTTCTCACCCTAGCTCTAAGTCAACTCTAAGAATGCACAAAGCTCGAACTTCTGGTTTGGGAGGCACCTATTCATTCTCATTGTCTTATTTCAAATATTGGCTTAGTTCCCACTATATGCCGGGCACATGCCCTGCTGATTGCAAGGTTGGTGGTTCAAATTCTCCAGCCACTCCAACAGAGAACGATGAGGCTGCCTGCTCGATGCTTAGGCCCAGCAAACCTGTGGAGTAGGTCTGCTCTGTCCAATAGAATCAATATACCTTGGATGGACTTGATGACAGTGGCTTTGAGTGGGAGTTTGCTGCTATTGTTTGTTTGGTTGGTATTAGGCATCTAACTAGGTTTCTAGGAGAGGCAGTTTATGAAAGAAACCACATGAGGCTACCTTTCTCTTACTACAAGTAGTAGCTTTCAAAAACAGAAACAGGGGTCTTATTCCCTTCCTCCACCCCAAAACTCCCCAACTCTTCCCCTTCCCCTCAACCCCCATGTCACTATCCCAGAAAAACCAAACTCACTACTTTGGGGTTGATTCTGACTCCTAGTGACCCTATAGGACAGGACAAAATTAGCACGGTGGGTTTCTGAGACTGTAACTTTTTACACCAATAGAAAGCCTTCTCTTCCTCCTGGTGGTTTCAAACTGCTGACCTTGTAGTTAGCAGCCCAATATGTAGCCAGGACACCACCCCAGCTCCTTTCCCCTAAGGACTCCTGTCAGTGTTAGATTGCTAACCACAAGATCAACGTTCACACCCACTACCTTCTGCGCAGGAGAAAGAGGAGACTCTGCTCCTGTAGAGACGTATAGCCTCAGAAACCCTATATAAGGTATGTAAGGTCACTCTGAGTAAGAATTGACTTGATGGCTATGGTTTAATTGCCCCTTTTTTTTTTTTTTTTGAAGAATAAGGAAGTATTTTAATTTGTTTCACATATTGAAGTAACCCACAAAGGCTGAGATATACATTCACAAATAGCTTTTCTTTCTCATTTACATCCAAAAGATTAGTGAATCCAGAAGAATTCCTGCAATCACTACACGGAGCAGACTGTATCAGTATTTCAATCGTTTATTCCAACCCATTTCTTCTTTTATACTCTAAAACATCTTCATTATGTTGCTTGATGAGATAGGCCCACAGGAAGACTGTGGTGCCCAAGGTCAGCCCAACTTTCAGCCAATCAGGTTTGCTATTTATCGGCTCCCGAACGTAGAACTTCGACCTCGCTGAAAGACTACTCGGGAGCCGGGCCGGGGTCAGCAGCCGGGAGAAAGGGCGCAGGACCGCGGGCGGCGCCATCTTGCCGACTTGGCTCCGCCTTCCCCCCGGTTTAATTGCCCCTTAACGGCTCCGTGTGGCCCAGTGGTCAAGCACTCGGCTGCTAACTGAAAAGCCAGCAGCTCAAAGCTACTCAGCAAAAATACTGAGCAAGGTGGCAATCTGCTTCCAGAAGGATCTACAGCCTCAGAAACACACAAGGGCAATTCTTCTTTTTCCCACGGGGTCACTGTGAGTCAGAATCGACTGGGTGGCAATGTGGCTTGTTTTGTTGAAATCATCCCCCTGCCTAGCTCATTGGAATGATCAAGGCTTGTTCCTAAATTCTAATGTCTCATATGTAGTACTTACAGCTAAACCAAAATAGGGATGAAAAAAGGCAGTCATCTGAAGAGAATGAAAGAAATTACACTTTTTACCTCCGTTTTAAGAATTGTTGTAACAGGAGCTCGTAAGTCACAATCCGCGGATATTCTGAAATTGAATAGTGACCAGCCGAGTGCTGTTCCCTGGGAAGAGTTGCTTCTATTTTACAACCTCCCGGGGAAACAACCTCACTGAACTTGTGGTGAGGAAACTCTGGCTACTGGTGCCTTTCAAATTGGGCTGCTAACTGCAAGGTCAGTGGTTCGAATCCACTAGCAGCCCCAGGAGTGAAAGATGGGGGTGAGGCTATCTACTCTTTTAAAGATTCAGTCCCAGAGACATAAAGGAACAGTTCTACTCCCTCCTGTGGGTCATCAGGAGTCGCAATCAACTCCCTTTGATGACAGTCGATTGCCCCTCAAGCAAGAGCCCTTCCAGAAGGTGCCATTTTACCCTAGGGCCTTTATGGATAGGCGCATCACCGTAACTCACAAAAGAAAAAATCAGGAATAATGGCAAAAATTATTTTGCCATATCCTAATTAAAAGTCACAAATCCCATTCCTTTGTTGCAATCTAATGTATTATCCTCGATAATTCTGAGAGTAATTAGAAATAAAGTCTCAATCTTTCATAGCAAAGTCAGAAGCTGTAGCCATTGAGCGTCAAGTCAAGAAGGATCTTGCTCCTGTTACCTTTGCACTGGCCCATGTTGGAGTGATCATTCTGTGGCCCTCCAGGAACCTGGGAAACACGCTGCCAGTCAGCATTATCTCCTGAACTTTGGATCATGCCACACACATTTTCCAGTTCAAAATCGCACGAGTCCATGAAGCTGAAAGAAGAGGCTACATGCGAAAGAAAATAGTTATTGACACACATAGAACATGATGATCTAAGGACTAAAAACGGATCTTGTCTGGAATGTGCGGCAAATCGCCTCTATGAACAACTGCTTCCTTGGCCATCAGACTTAATGGCGCCCGGCTATGTGTACTGAGCATTTAGATCCATGATTTCAGAGAGGAATCCTGGTCAAAAGAGGGAAATACAAAAGACAATATCAAATTTTCATGGAATCCAGATTTTCTGAGGCCATGAAAGTTGGATGAACCCCTAAAACCTCTGTCCTGAGGTTATCTTTAAACTTTAAAGCAAACAAAAAAATCTCTTTTGGAATCTTCATAAAACAAAGAACAAGTTCACTAACATGTTGGGCTAACTACTAGAGCTTCTGCTCCCTGGTAGGACCACGTTACAGGTGGGGTTGCTAACCACCGGGTTGGAAATTCAAACCCACCAGTAACTCTACGGAGACAAAAAGATGAGACTTTCTGCTCCTGTACAGTTGTACAGCCTCGGAAAGCCCAGGGGCAGGTCTACCCTGTCCTACAGAATCACCGTGCATCAGAACGGACACAATGGCAGGGTGTAAAAAAGACCTGCTTTCGCGTTGTGCTCCTTTCAGAACTATCTCTATGGGATCAAACTGACTGTGGCAACTCCCCAGATTCAACAGGAACCTAAGAGGGCGTGCCTTTTTGGGAATGGGGAAGCAGCGCAGTAGTTAAGTGCTCATCTTCAGTGGTGGAAACCCACCAGCCACTGTGTGGGAGAAAGAGGTGGCAGTCTAGTGGCATACAGATTCCCAGCCTTGGAAACCCACGAGGCGTTGCACCACGAGGCCATCCTGAGCGAGCACCGACTCTGCAGCAACGGGTTTCCACGGAAGGTCAGCTCGGAAAAGGAGCGTAAGCGTGTTTACACACTCGAAAAGGGAAATCAGTGTGACTGAACGGTTCATGCAGAAATTGTTGAATTGGTGCAAACTTTCCTGTACATATTCTCAACCATAACAATATATAAATGTATAACTTTTAAACACCCACCAAAGCAAACAAAAAAAACCCCCTGAGCTGATCATAGAAGTACTAGGAAAGCTTAATGACATTTAAGGAACCATCCAGTGTCAGATTACCACGGTTAGCACTGGGCTACTGGATTAATTTACCAATCTGGAGTGAACACTTTCACATCCCCCCCTCATCAAGGACTCGAATTCTAGTGATGGCTGCCCTGTTTCTCGCTCAACCCCAGCAACTTCCTACAGAATCAAAGCCCCTGTTCAAATTTACAATCCCCGACAGAGAGAAAGCACCCAATACAGAAACTGGGAGCCGATGGAAATGTAAAACTGTTGGCTACAGATTACTGAATAAAAACAAGCAAATCAGTATTTACTTAGCATACTGGGTAATCTGACCCTGGGAACACCTCATGGATTCGGGGTGATTGTGGCTTGAAGAACCACTCTACCTGGGGAACCACTGCCAGGAGACGGAGGAACCGAATCGGCTCATGGCCCCACCCAGCAGTTCTGTGAGAGGAAGAAACCCTATGGGGCAGTTCTACTCTGGAGCACGTGGGATCGCCAAGAAACAGACTCCGCTCCACAGCAACTAATAGCAACGAATTAGCAGAAACCTGAGTCTATCCTCTCCTGGTGGTTTAGATTTTAAAGGCACCGCCCAGGTTCTCTGATCCCACTGATCTGCATATGGACCTTCACTGAGGAAGACTGAAGATTAATCAGTGCATTTGAATCAGGGTCCTGGGGAGGAACAAGAAAGAACCAGGGACTGCCAAGAGAACAAACAAATCTGTCTTGGAAAAGGACAGCCAGAATACGTGGAGCAGGTTCATCAGGAGAGACGGGTCCTTGGCAGAGGCCACCACGCTTGGTAAAGTAGAAGTGCGTGAAAAAAAGGAAGATGTCTGTTCAGACCCAGCAACAACAACATGCCAACACTATTATGCCTCATTTCATGAAAAGGAGTTTTGACCCTTACGGTTTGAATTAGTAACAGCTTAAAAATCCGGCCTGGGAGGTAAACAAGCAGCCATCTAGCTCAGAAGCAACAAAGCCCACATGGAAGAAGCACACCAGTCTGTGTGACCACGAGGTGTTGAAGGGATGAGGTATCAGGCACCAAAGAACAAAAATCATATCATTGTGAATGAGGGGGAGTGAGGAGTGGGGACCCAAAGCCCATCTGTAGGCAAATGGACATACCCCTACAGAAGTGTTGCAGGGAGGAAATGAGCCAGTCAGGGTGTAGTGTAGCAAAGATGAAACATACAACTTTCCTCTAGTTCTTAAATGCTTCCTCCCCCCACTATCATGATCCCAATTCTACTACCTTACAAATCTGACTAGACCAGAGGATGTACAGTGGTACAGATAGGAACTGGAAACACAGGGAATCCAGGACAGATGATCCCTTCAGGAACAGTGGTGAGAGTGGCGATACTGGGAGGGTGGAGGGAAGGTCGGGTAGAAAGGGGGAGCTGATTACAAGGATCTACATATAACCTCCTCCCTGGGGGACAGACAACAGAAATATGGATGAAGGGAGATGTCAGACAGTGTAAGATATGACAAAATAATAATTTATAAATTATCAAGGGTTCTTGAGGGAGTGGGGAGCGGGGAGGGGGGGTGGAATGAGGAGCTGATACCAAGGGCTTAAGTGGAGAGCAAATATTTTGAGAATGATGAGGGCAATGAATGTACAAATGTGCTTGACACAATGGATGGATGGATGGATTGTGATAAGAGTTGTATGAGCCCCAATAAAATGATTTTTTTTAAAAATCCTGCCTGGGACATATTCCTACTGGACCTAATTTGTTTTCAGATCTGCAGGTCAAGCCTGTGGGAAGAACATTGCTGCTTCCAAATTTCAGGTTGGGTTCTCTTCTGCATTTTCCTGACAATCAAATTATTATTCTTTCAGAACCTCCCACAACACTCAGCCAAATGTCCCCGTCTGACATCTTGCTGCTTAGCGAAGGGAACTAGGAATTGATGAGCAAGCCTGTCACATACAGCAGTTATACAGTCGGTTCAACTTCAGCAGATCAGAGTCGCTGAAATCCATTCGCTGGCCGATCACATCCATGAAGTCGGGGATCCTCGTGACTATGGTTGGCTCTGTCCCATTTTGAAATGCAGTTTTGCTGTAGTGCATGACCGAAGTGTAATCATAGGGCACATTCAAAGAGTCTGACTCTCGATCATTATAGGTGTTAAAATTGTGTTCTTTGCCTAAATGACAAATGAAAAAAAATTAATTGCCTTGTTTGCACAAAATTTAGTAATATACAGAGACTAATCTTGGCTACAACTGATTCATAGTTTCTTTCCAGACTGTTTCATGTAATAGTCAGGCTTACACTTGTGCTATCCTCAAGCACACTGAATATAGCCACAACGTCTTTACAGCCCCAACGTTGGAACATTAGCATTAGACCTACAGTTCTAAACAAAATTGTCCTTAAAAGATGTTTGTTCAAACAGGGCAAGCATACCTGACTGGATTCTGTCCCAAATGATATTGACGTAGTCATCCCGATCAGAACGCGATTGCTCATGCCAGAATCCCAGGGCATGGAGGAACTCATGTTGAATCGTGGCTATCCGGTCACAATTGGCCCCAATGGAAAGTTCTTGCCTCCCAACACGCCTATTTCCAACGGAAGACCAGCAGCTATAGGAGAATTTAACAAGAAGTGGTAGAGTGCATGACTAACGTATTATGGTGCAGGTTGGACTTCTCAGAGCAAACTTCAATGTCAAGTTACTTCATTTCCTTCCCCAGATCCTTCACTTCTTATCAGGACACTGTGTATTCCTCTCAGGTGTGAATATCTTCCCAGTTAGGGAACTGGTCCAAACACTGTATATTACATAGAAACAAGCCATTTCCCAGCCAGACTAACTCTGATTTTTCCTGGGGAGTCAAAGTCTCGGAGTTATATTTGGTACACAGGTGTCCACTAACAAGGATGTTACAGGGACACTCAGTACTACTTGGATTTGCTGGACTTAATGAAGGTGGGAAGAGGGAGAACTAATTGTGATGATGTTGATGATTATATATATATATATGCAACTTTTTTTAAAAAGTGATATAAGCTATGGAAGTGTATGACATGTGAATATTATATTATGAAAACTACTTTAAAAGTTTATCAGGTAAAAAAAAAAAGTTTATCAGGTATCAAAAGATCCAAAACAAACAATTATATCAATGTGAATGATGGGAGTTGAAGTGGAGATCCAAAGCCCATCTGTAGACAATTGGATATCCCCCCACCGAAGGGTTATAAGGAAGGGATGATTCAACTAGGGTGCTGTAGAGCACCAGCAAAACACACATCGTTCCTCTAGTTCCTGAATGCTTCCCCCACTCCAGTACCATGACCCAGTTCTACCCTACAAATCTGGCTAGACCAGAGTACACAGATTGGTACATATAAGAGCTCTCGACACATGGAATTCAGGACAGATACCCCTCAGGAACAGTAGTGGGAGTAGCAATATCATGAGGGGCGGGGAGGGGGGAAGGGGAGGGGAGAAAGTGGGAATCACAAGGTTAGCTATATAGCGCGCACACATACCCCGCCAAGGGGACACATAACAAAAATGTGGGTGATGGAAGACAATGGACAGTGTAAGATACAAAGTAACAATAATAATATATCACTGATCAAGTATTCACGAGGGTGGGAGAGTGGGGGAGTGAGGAGGAAAAAGAGGAGCTGATACCAAGGGCTCAAGTAGAAAGAAAATGTTTTGGAAATGTTGATGCCAACATATGTACAGATGTGCGTAATACAATTCAATGATGGATTGTTATAAGATTTGTAAGTGTTCCCCAATAAAATGATTAATAAAAAACACTTGGTGAATGGTTTCCATGGATGAAGGCGAAAGAATTCTTCTTAGGGAATGTTGTTACTGAGTTTATGTTGATAGTGGTGGAATAATTGGGGGAAATATCAATAATGGCTGTACAATATGAAGAGCATAATCAAGGGCACCGAATTGTGCATGTGGAGGTTGTTGAATTAGAGACTTTTTGTTGTGTATGTTTTTGCCACAATTAAAAAACATAATTACACCCATAACTAGGAGGCCACGGAAGAGGCGCATGTTCTACAACTGATCGTGGTAATGATCGCACCACGCTCCTCGGCGTTATTGAACTATTGAAGTGTACGATATGGGGCTGAAGTACCAATAAAACTGTGAACATTTTTAAAAGAATGGCTGGCCTTGGCATAGATAGCACTACCTCCTTATCTCAAGTTATGAATTGCTAAACATATACATTTATAATCCATGTGCCCAGAAGACACTCAGAAGTTAACCTTTCATAATACCACATCAGCAAAACACCTTCACTGTAAAGAAGTTAGTAATACACATAAATAAAAAGAAGGAAACAACGAACACTTCTCACCATTCACCCACTCTCTATAAAGAAATTGAGTCTTTAAGTGTTTGTGCATTTCTTGAAGGGGGAAATAAACAAGTAAATTACAACCATTTGCCACCATTCACAAGAGTGTGGGATGAAAGAAATGAATCCCCTCTGCCTTGTGTTAATCACTTTGGTAGGCTGGTTAGAGGTCGGACAGGGCAAGATATGACAAAATACCCATTTATAAACTATCAAGGGCTCATGCGGGAGGGGGGAGCGGGGAGGGAGGGGAAAAATGAGGACCTAATGTCGGGGGTTTAAATGGAGAGAAAATGTTTTGAGAAACAATGTACAAATGTGCTTTACACAATCGATGTGTGTATGGATTGGGATAACAGTTGTATGAAGCCCTAATAAAATGTTTAAAAAAAAAAAAAAGAAAAATATTATTTGTTACGGCGAGAGGACCTGAATTCAGCTCATCTTTTATTCTTCAGCAACCAGCAAGGGAAGCCCCCAGATTAACGGCTGTAACCCAGGGCAATGCCTGGGATATAATGTCCCTTACACAGAAGTTCTCTTCAGAGCCAGTTCTTCAACCTACCCGCTGCCCTTAAACACGGCGATATAGTTAGCTTCTCCAGCCCAAGGCTTGAAGTCAATGCATGTTTTTAGGCGATAGCGTTCAAACGCATTGAGGATGGCTCCCTTCGCATTCATTTCTGAAGAAAGAAAACAAGCAAAATAGATTTATTAAAGTAACCACCACTTATTAAATAATTCACTGTGAAAATAGACCGTGGTTGTATTGCTTGAATGAGTGCAAAAGAGGAAGGTTCGCAGTGGAACAGATTGACAAAGAGGCTGCAGAGACTGGACTCAGACATAGACGTTTGTGAGGACGGGACGGGACGGGACCAGCTAGTGCTCTCTGCTGCTGAGTGTAGCTAGAAAGCCCGATCTTTCTCCTGACGAGGGGCTGATGATTTCAAACGAATGCCATTGCAGATCTCAGCTCAACTCGTAATCACTACACCGCCAAGGCTTCTTAGGAACCTCCTACAGAGGAAGATTGATGTCAATACACAGAAAGCTCTCCAAAGAACACCAGGTCCACCGATGGAAAAAGGAGATAAGGATCACCCGCCAGGAGTCGGAACCTGGAACTGACTCATGGCCCCTGGCAGCAATCAAAACCGCCGGCTGAAGGGAGTCAGTGTCTTGTTTTCATAAATTTAAAATTCAGTTCCAATTAAGTCAGTGGCATATGCAAGTGTTTTCTTCTTCTTCAAGCTCCTTCTTTTGCCTTTCCCACACATTTCACAGGAGCCATTAGAGATTCCTTGTAGAACAAGAAAATGGGCATTTCTTGACCTAGGAGACTAGACGTTGGAGCACAGGACACTGAAATAAACGACCATCACATGCTCCACCCGAGAACCTACAATGTGTGCATGAAATGCACCTAACATTTAATAGAAGGACCTTGACATTATTTATGGGGTCATTGAGTGCTCTGAAAGAGTATGTAAAGTGCGTGTGTGTGTGTGTGTGTGTGTGTGTGTGAGACAAGTGCATTCTCTGGGAAGAGCTTTCATAAGATGCTCAAGTTAACCCAGGGCCCAAATTGGGTTAAGAACCACGGCTTTGAAGGCAGCATGGTGCTATTGGGATGGATGAATATGTAGCTCATAAAAGGCAGAAGCTTGAAAATCCACAAAGACGTGCAGAAAAGCAGCTCTGGTGTCACGTGGAGGGAGCGGCTATCTGGGCTGCACGTGGAGAGACCACCTCCAGCGGGGTCAGGTATCGGTGAAGGGAGTGTGCTGCCTGCCCGAAGGTGGGAATGCAGTATGGCAGAGGAAATCACTTGGACTTTGGGGTCAGAGAGCTAAGTTCTTTCCTGTCCTTACCTTTGCTGATCTAATTAACCTGGTAACATGAGGAAGCAAAACCCACATTGCAGGGGTGTTGTGAGAGTAAGAACAGAAAATGTAGCTGGTGTCCCAGGTTCCGTGTCTATTATCCAGGATTCATGCCTTCCTCCCTTCTTAAAGGGACCATTGCCCGGACTTTTTTTTGTATTTTCACTAAATACTGCATCCTAAACATTTGACACAAGGAAGTACTGAAATATGTTCCAGACATACAATGCAGTTTCCAAAAGAATACAAATAATATTTAATAATGAAACATATTTTAATGATTTATACTGACTTGGAGCTTAGCAGTAATTCACACCCCCCCAGTTTCTCTGAGGAGAAGAATGAGGCTGTCTCCTCCCGTGAAGATTGTTAGCCCTCGAAGTCAGTCCTAGGGAGCAGTGATACTCTGTTCTATAGAGTCACTATAAATCAGTGGCCCTGGTTTGGACCTTTGGTTTGGTCAAATATTTAAATGTTTTCCCAAATATTCTCTACTATAAATTTACATTACTTTTGGATCATTATTTCAAGTCTAACACCTCTTCAAAAGGCATGATGACACCAGCCTGCGGGTTACTGTTTTAAAAATGAACGTAAAAGTCAAATACTGGTGTGTTCTTAATCTTGTATCAAAGCTCAGGGAAGTTTCTACCCTGACACTGAGTCATTTTGAGAATCAAATCAGAGAACATATCTGCAAGCTTCGCAAACTGCAGAGCCCCCTACCAAGATAAGATCTTTATTTACCCAGGGCCTTGATTAACCAAGGACTTTAATTCACTTAGTATCACAGACGCCAGGTGCTAAAGAGCTCCACCTGGGGTCATCCCACGCAGATTTCTAGGCTCCAAATCTAAAAGGATAAGCAAGCCTGGAAATCAAACAAGCAGCTGCTCAGAATTTTTACCCCCTGTTAGTCCCTTTGGGTTCCTAGCACTTGGCCTTTATTTCTATCCCCTACCTCCATTACCCCACTCCACACTATCTTTGGAACTCAGACATGAAATTATAACTTACTCATTGGGGGCCATAAGCACCCCTTCAAGTGTTGTCACTTGCGGTTGACCTGCATCTAGCAGTCAGCCAGAATCAGAAAGCAAAGCTAGCAGGGGGACAATGGTACTAGGGAGCTCACACCCTTTACATGAATTGGCCACTTCAGATCAAGAAGCTGCGCTTACCCAACGGCCAAGTTCCGAAGGCTTAGCAAAGAAGGAGTGAACACAGGAAACAGTGAGGAAATAGGATAAGTGATGGGACGTTGAACGGATTACAATGAATGAGCAGAAACAACATGCGTACGAATTGTTGAATGTAAAACTGATGCTCCGCCCTGTAAACTTTTACCCAGTTCACATTTTAAAAGTTTAAAAAACTAAACAAAACACTAACACCTACTAGTAAAGTTTTACAGGTGTGTTAACCAGAAATCACTTTTAGAACTCACTTCTAGAAAACGCTTCATAAATATTTACTTTTGCTACATGTAAGCATGAACTTGCGTACTGATTCTATTGACCTGAGTCATTTCCAGACGTTGTGCATTTCTGGTATGAGAAGGGATACTCATGCTTTTTTGAACAGAGGGGGTAAGTTCAATTCAACACTATTACCTGGGAAATATATTTTCTAAATTGAAATCAAAATCACAGAAATGAAAAAAAAAAGTATTTTTATTATAATGGTAAAGGCTATATAGCATGAGAAAACACAGGCGTATAAAGCAAAAAAAGTCAGAAAAAGTACTGGAATTATATAAAAACATGCACCATTTGCATTAGATCTGTGCTAAAATATTTACATCTAGTATGTTTCACTCATGTATGTTTATCAGTTTATTTTATTATTATTTATTAACTGCTTATTATTATAATGCTAGGAACTGTGCTAAGCCTCCAATTTGCAAGATGAAAACGAGCTCCTGTCATCAAGGAACTTACTATCTAGTTTTATAGTTTTATTTTAAAGATAAATACCTAGAGCTGCCGTGGTTCTCAACCTTCCTAATACTGAGACCCTTTAATACAGCTCCTCATGTTGTAGTGACCCCCAACCATAAAATTATTTTTGTTATTACTTCATAGCTGTAATTTTGCTACTGTTATAACTCAGGCGACCCCTGTGAAAGAGTCGTTCAATCCCCAAAGTGGTCGTGACCCACAAGTTGAGAACTGCTGGCTTACAGGATAGACTAGGGTAGGGTAATTTTGGCTTAAAAAGTGACAAAAACCCTCAAAGATACAACCAAATGAAAGATCACTAGCCTTTCATGGAATACCCTCAGGAGAATAAGATATGCTCATGAAATATATTAAATAAAATAAGATGTATTTTAATTGATCAAAAATTAATTAACCTTAAAAAAACTTAATCACAAAAGAGCAACAATTGATCTCTTCTCCTGGAGCAATAGAGGAAGACTAGAGGAGGAAATGGAATGCATGACTAATTGCCTCTGTGAAAAATTAACCCATTGGAAATAGAGGAAGGAACTAGGAGGCAAAGGGCATTTATAGAGGTCTAAATACAGGCATGTACATATGTAAATATATTTACATATGATAATGGGGAAATAGATCTATGTGCAAATATTTATAGGCTTAGTATTAAGGTCGCAGACGGACATTGGGCCTCTACTCAAGTACTCCCTCAATGCAAGAATACTTTGTTCTACTAAACCGACATTCCATAATGCTCACCTGCCTGACAGGATCGCTGAAGACAAAATGGGTGCATAAGCAAATGTGGTGAAGAAAGCTGATTGTGCCCAGCTAAGATATAGCATCTGGTGTCCTAAAGGCTTGAAGATAAATAAGCAACCATCTTCCTGAGAAGCAATAAAGTCCGCAAAGAAGAAGCACACCAGCCTGTGTGATCACGAGGTGTCGATAGGATCAAATATCAGACATCAAAGAACAAAATATCATATCATTGTGAATGAGGGGGAGTGCAGAGTGGGGACCCAAAGCCCATCTGTAGGCAACTGGACATCCCCTTACAGAAGGGTCAGTGGGGAGGAGACAAGCCAGTCAGGGTGTGATGTAGCAACGATGAAACATACAACTTTCCTCTAGTTCTTAAATGCTTCCATCCCCACTATCATGGTCCCAATTCTACCTTACAAATCCGGCTAGACCAGAGTATGTACACTGGTATAGATCAGAGCTGGAAACACATGGAATCCAGGACAGATGGACAGATAAACCTCTCAGGACCAATAATGAGAGTAGCGATACCAGGAGGATAAGGGGAAGGTGGGGTAGAAAGGAGGAACCAATCACAAGGATCTACATATAACCCCCTCCCTTGGGGACAGACAACAGAAAAATGGGTGAAAGGAGAGACATCGGACAGTGTAAGACATGAAAAAATAATAATAATTTATAAATTATCAAGGGTTCATGAGGGAGGGAGTGTGGGGAAGGAAGGGGAAAAACGAGAAGCTGATACCAAGGGCTAAAGTAGAAAGAAAATGTTTTGAAAATGACGATGGCAACAAATGTACAAATGTGCTTGACACAATGGATGGATGTATGGATTGTGATAAGAGTTGTATGAGCCCCCAATAAAATGATTAACAAGAAAGAAAGAAAAATTAACCCTTTGAGACCAGAGACCAGAACTGGATGGTGTCCAGATAACACTACAGATGTCTGGGTCCAATATTCTATGACAGAATCCTGATCAAAATGTGGAAGAATCACAGAATCTCAAATTCTCAGAGTATCCAGGCTTTCCAGAGTTATGAAGGCTGGATTACTCCCAAAACTATTGCTCAGAGATTTTTAAACCTTAAACCCAAAATATGCCCTAAAGACTTGAACTATGTTAGCTTAATTAGTGAAGAATGTCTTCCTGAAGGAGTGTATTCTTTTATGATTTATCCAAATGGGATGAAATTAACAACAGCTATGTGAAATAGTAGATAAGAAATCTAGGGGCAATGAGTTTATGTTAATGAATGTGAAACAATTCAGAAAAGGTAGATGAGAATGGATCTACAACTCAAAGGAAGTGATCAATGTCCATGAATTGCGTATGCGGAGAATGTTGAATTGCTGAATAATCTGCAGTGCATAGTTTCAACAGCTGCAAAAATAAAACAAATTATTTTTTAAAAGATTAAAATAGACTCTTTTGACTTTCCCTGATTGAAAATGCAACAGGCATGTATCTCTCTTATTATTATATTTTCTATTAATAGGATCTGACCAGCCATAGATTGAATTGTGTCCCCCAAAGCTGATAGGCTGTAAATCCTAATCTTTACGCCTAGAGTTATAATGCCATTCGAAATGGTCATCTTTCTGATGTTACCGCAGCAAGATTAGTGTGGGGAGTGGCTTCTGAGAGACACAAGAAAAGAAAGGAGCCCATCGCAACAACAAAACTCACTGACATCCAGTCGGCCCAGACCCCTAGGGACCCTGTAAGACAGCAGAGCTGCCCTGGAAGTCCCCGGACCACAAGGCCACGAACAAACCAACAAAACCCCTTCAAGACCCAACGAGTCTTCTTTGGAAATATTGTAACAATAGTCAATCAAAAACAAACATGAGTTATTCTATGGTGGATTACTAACCCAGGCTGTCTTCCAGTACATAGGGAATGGTGTGAGGCCATCTATATTTTTCCCCAATTATGGAATTTCTCTCTTGTGCCTGTCAACAATAAAAGAAGAGTTCATTAAATGAATTTAGGTAGCGATTTCTCAATCAATAATTAATCTAAAAATAAAGTTTAAAGCTTTTCTTTTAAAATGTTGTGGGTGTGCATGTGTCTCTACTTTTCTCGTCATACGATGAGGTTTCCTGGAGGAATTCATTCATCTCTAGCATCAATGCCATAGCGAACCTTAAATAAATAATGCAAAATGATATCAAGAATTAACTTTGGAAAAGTAAACTAGAAGCAATGACTGTTGTTATTAAGTGTCATTGAATTGGTTCCGACCCGTGACAACCCATCCCCACAGAACAAACACGGCCTCGTCCTACACCTTCCTCACGATTCTTGTTTGGTTTGAGCCCGTTGTTGCCACCGCTGTGTCAATCCCATCTCATGGCAGGCCTTCCTCGTTTTTTATTCTTTTTGATGCCCTTTAACTGTCCCAAGCATGATGTCCTTGTTTCTGGCCTGGTCCCTTCTGACAACATGGCCAAAGTATAGGAGATGAAACCTCCTCATCCTCCCTCCTAAGGACCATCCGGCTGAACTTCCTGTGAGACAGATTTGTTCTTCGGCAGTCCACTGTATTTTCCGCGTTCTTCACCAGCACCACGATTTAAATGCATCGATTCTTTTTCAGTCTTCTTTGCTCAGGGACCAACTTTCACACGTGCATGAGGAGGTTAGAAGTACCACGGCTTAGGTCGGTCGCACCTTAGTCTTCAAAAGACATCCTTGCTTTCCAACACTTGAAAACGGTCTTATGTCGCAGACTTGCCCAGTGCAAACATGGTAGAATTATAGATTCACTTCCTACACTAGAAATTAAAAAGCTACAAAAAGGAACTGACCGAAAAAAATCTCAATTATCTGCATTTCGTAACACCACCACATACACAGGTGCAAGTTGGACGCTGACTAAGGAAGTCTTGAAGAAGAGCAGATGCATTTGAGTGAAGACTGAAAGAACCGTGGGCTGCTGAGAGAAGAAACCAAGCTGTCTTGGAAGAAGCATCATCAGAGTGCACCTTAGAGGCAAAGATTCAAAGACTTTGTCTCATGTGCTTTGGGCGTGTTGTCAGGAGAGCCCAGTCCCTGGAGAAGGACACTGTGCTTGGTAACATAGAAAGGCAACGGAAATGAGGAAGGCCTTTGACAAGACGGACGGGCACAACGGACGCAGCAATGAGCTCAAAAGTAAGACTAGTGGTGAGTACAGCGGAGCAGCAGGCAGTGTTTGGGTCCTGTGGTACCAAGGGCTGCTGAGTCAGACTCGGCCGATGGCACCTGACAACGTAACAGCACTAAGCCTCCACGGAACAGAAAGCCTGGTGTTTCTCGTGGGGAGCAACCCGACTTGTAAGCCGCCTCTCCTCCAGGGCTCCTGAGACAAAAGACAGGTCATCATGCAAAGCCTTGGAAACCAAAGAAGCAAATCCGCTGCCATCAGGTCAATGCCAACTGCCTTTTTTTTTTAATGCAAGGGGAAGCTGTTTTCATAAAATAATGCCAGCTGTCTGTTTTAAAGACCACCTGGCTGTGGAGGCTGAAGAACATAGAGCAGAAAGCTCGCTGTTGCTGTGGTGGTTGTGGTTGTGGTGTTGTGAAGAGCCTGTCGTGTCTATTCGGGGTCACAGCGATCCAGTGTTGCACAGTAGAACTGCCTCCTGGGGGTTCCTTCTCTCCATGACCAGGTCTTTGCTCCCACAGAGCTGGGTGGGTTTGAACTGCCACCTTTCCATTAGCAGCCCAGCATGTAATCCTGCAACATCTGAGCTCCTTGGAAAGGATGCTAGGAAGTCAACATTTTGAAATAGAGAGACTGATTAAAAGGTGGTGAGGAAAATCCAAAGAAGAGACGATGGATGTCAGGCTTGAATTTGGGCAAGAACTGACCTGATTTGGAACACAGACGGAGGGTAGATGGTGAACTGAAAGAAAGGGGGAAGCTACAGTGACTTCTGACGTTGTCACTTATTCAATGGAGACGGGTGGTGATGATTTTATCAAGAAGGAAGCCCAGGGAAGAACAGTTTGTACGGATGTTGGGAGTTTGGTGACGGACACCTGAGGTGAGACATTTGAGACCTTGAGATGGAACTGACAAATTGTCCTTTGCAGAGATCAGCTTGGAACTCGGGAAGAGAACAAAACCGTTGTTGTTGCTGTCAACTTGATGGCAATTCAGGGCAACAGCCGGGATGCGGAGCGGGCTGCTCCAGAGGGTGTCAGTGGGGTGAGCTTTCAGAAGCAGACCAGCAGGCTTTTTATCCCAGGTGACCTGGGTGGGTTTGAACCACGAACTTTCCTGTTCATAGTCCAGTACTGAGCCACTTGGACCACTCTGGGATTCAGAAGAGGAGTGGCGTCCAGATGTTGGAGTCATTGATAAATAGATGGTAGCCAACACCAGGTCACAAGGTGAGATGGAACAGAAAGTGCAGATGGAAGAGTCAAGGCAGGACGCACAACTGATTCTGGAGAGGGGACCTCCCCAAGGGGCTGGAGGGCTGTTCACTCGCTTTAAAGGATCCCGGTAGCACTGTGGTTAAGCACTCAGCTGCCAGCTTACAGGTTGCGTCGTCAGTTGGAGCCCACCAGCTGCTCCATGCACTCCACTCCCATAAATATTACAGCCTAGGAGCCCCAGTGGTGTCCTGGATTACACGTTGGGCTGCGATCCGCTAGGTTGGCAGTTCGAAACCACCATCAAGATGGTTGGCTTTAACAAAGTCCCCATGCCCAATCATCCTCAGACACCCTGTATTTTAGCATGCAGTATGGAATGAAAGACCTTGTTCCAACTCACCCCATCAAGTTTGATGTCCCCCTCAAAAAGATCCAGCCCCAAATCTAGGAAGGAAGATCAAAATACATGTTAGCAAATTTTTAACTTGAACACCCCACTTTAAAAAGTTGACTGTTCCTAAGATAAAATAATAAAAACAAACCTTCATTAATATCAAATATGTCCCGGTCAATTCCACCATCTACATCTCTGACTAAAATAACAACAAAAAGAACATATTGAGGATTACAGTTTTGAAAAAAAGGACATTTTTATCAATTATCACATCAGAAATAAGCAAGGTGCTTTTGCCTTAGATGGATGATTAAAAGTTTCTGATTCAGCATACATTGGTTGATCAAGAAATTCCCATAAACTTGGCTCTGGACTTCACACGTACACTGTGCACTCCCCCTCTTGCCCTCCATATGAGGTCAGGAATAAGACATACTGTCCAATATGAAACTGAATTTGGAAGATTCAACTGTATGAATGGGTTGAGTAAGAAATAAATGTTTAAATGGGATCAAGCTAGTGAAGTCTATCCAAATACATATAGTCCTTGCCAGTACAACTTGGAACACTCAAGAAAAAAATGTTTAATTAAACTTAATTCATTCTTTTAAGTTACAGAGGAGTAAATAATCTGGGCAAATATGCAACTGGATAGAAGTAGACTGTATTATCAGGTCCATCATGATTTAACATGAAAAAACAATAGAGTCTATAGGAAACCCTTGAGGTGCAGTTAATTGCTCAACCACTCGACAAAAGGTTAGTAGTTTAAAACCCACCCACCCACACCCACCCCCACCAGGCCCCTTGGAAGATGGATCTGTTGATAACTCCCTTATGGTCACAGCCCTAGAAAGCCTACGGAGCTGTTCTCTGAACACACAGGGTTTCGATCCATTGGAGTCTACTTGATGATGGTGGTTGTTGCTGTCATGATGTTTGTTTTTGTGGGATACTCATGTGCCAACTATTTAGTGGACCTTTGCTCTACCACCAGTTATTATTCTAATTGGCATATGAGCCCTTACACCAAAAGGTTAGAGTTTGTTGACCGTTCAGTCAACTCTAGTGAACCAGACCGCCATGTCTCAGCATTCAATGTGTCCTGGGTCCCTCTGCTCGGCTGTTAGCTAGCCCCGAAACCTCCTTTTAGTATAATGTAGAGAAAAATTCAAAAGACTCACCAAAGCTTTCTGGAGTTGGCTGGGAAAGAAACACGTATACACACACACACATACACAAAGAGACATTAAGATACCATGACATGAATTATTTTCTTGGTCCCAATTTATATCCAGACATTTACTTTTTTCACTAGCATTACACATTGCTTCCTGGCTTATATCGAAGACTGCTACACTGGAGTTTAAGAGAGCTTCTTTGATCAAATGGACTTCTCATTTCATACAGAAAATGAAACTGCCTGCTACATGAATTTGAAGCTGAAGGAAACATGAAACTAACTTCACAGAATTTTTCAAAAGACAGATATTAGAATCTAGCCCTGAAATATATAAATTAGTAATTAGTATGTTCACTTTAAAAATTATTTTCTAAAATAAGCATTCATGGAACAATGTTTGAAAAACTCAATAATCTATTTCCAATGTGAAAATATTAAAAGAATCCTTTAAAAGAAATTTTCTTCGAGAACTTAGTAATCACATTCTACTTTCATGTTTCCCTCAAGAATGCTTTCAGACACCAAAGGTTAAGAAAAAAATTGTTATATATTACAATTTAAAAAGATAATAACTTTTTAATAGATTCTCTACAAATAACCAAGTGAGGCATTAGGCTATTGCATTAAGATAAGTAAATTTGAGAAATTCCTTAGTCAACGTCGTCTACTAAAGCTCATGAAACTGGTAGACAGTAAATCTGGGTTTCACCAACTAAAGGTAAGTCATTTTACCAGCTTGATATTCAGACTATTTATAAAATATAGACGGTACATGATTTGCATGGGTATTGCAAGGGTTACATGATGTAATATGGAAGCACTTTAGCAAGTAAACCATACCATGCAAGCAAGCAAAACATCACATGAATATTAGGTACAATTTTACTCAACTATCACAATGCTAGAATCACTTAGTGTTTGACAAGCTGTATGGGGATGGGCCAGTTAGAAGGTGACTGTCCTTTTTGACATTAACAAATGCCCAAATTGTCTCACGCTTGAACTACACACAGATACACACTACAGAGGACTGCCAAAGCAAGTTATTAAATGTACGTTCTTACAGTGTTCACAAGCAATAAATGGTTGTCTCTTGTTCTCAAAGTCAGATAGTTCCTGTTTGTGCCAAATCAGCTCCATATACCTGCCGTTTTTAAATTACAATGAAAGGTGTTTCCCCTACGCATTGGAAATGTCATTTAAAATCTTGGTTTTTCCTGGTACAAACTGCCTATCACAATCGAAAGGTTAGTCAAATGTGAAAAAGCAGAAGAGAAATCCCATGCAACAAAACTATGTAAGGGTAAGTCAGATCATTGCTACAAAATCATGGAAACCTTTATTTTTTAAAAAATAGCAAAATGTGAAGCTGCTGTTTCTCAACATATCCTCCATCGCGGCCCGTGCATTTCTGTTGGTTGGGTTCCCAGCTCTCAGAGCCACCCCTGAAGAATTTGATCCTCTCCCATGGACACCAGGGTCGCAGCAGCAGTTTTTGAATCCCCGGGAGCCTCAAATCACGTTCCTGTTCCATGCTCTTTGAATTTAGGGTTCTTTAAAGAGAAACCAATCCCTCCAGATACCTTTTCCGCCAGACCTACATATTGGTCCGAGTGACTTGAAAAACAAAAAAGAAGTAAAAACTGAAATGGACAAGAGACACATCATTTCAAAGAAAACCATGTTCATTGAGTGTGGAGAAGAAAAAGAAGTCCGTCTGGAAAGGAAGCTGGGAGGGGGAATGGGTAAGGTTTCCGGGCCCAAGCCTCATAGGGCCGCCGTACCGCCCTGGGAGCAGAAGCAGGTCTGGTTGTGATGGAAAACAATTCCTCCTCCAAGCAGCTCTCCTGGCCTGCTTCTCGTTGACACAGTTTTTCATTTTTAAGAACTTGTGACGTTTTCAAATTTCTTTCTAATAAGCCCCACAGCTGTCCTGTGTCCTTTGAGAAAAATCTATCAAGATGATCCCTTTGAAATAATAAATTTTTTAAAGTCACCTGCATCTTCTGAGCTGACCTATTGACTCTCTCTGAGATATTTCCAGCCTTCTTTAAAATGCTTGATCCATCTCAACATGGATGTGGGACAGCATTCCTATAAACTTATTCCAACACCTCAGTGATTGCAAAAGGTATGCACTTGAGTTTTAAGAAACAGTTGATATTATCCCTGGCCTCAAAATCACTTTTTCCCTCGGCATAAACAAAGCATCCTAGTGAGACTAAGAGACGTGTCTGGCCGAGAGAACTGGTCTAGAGCCCCCTACTGAGGTGGGAGACGTTAAACAAAATCTTGTTGGCGGCAACCTGTGCGCATACAGACTGGAACCCGAGTAGCGATCTTTTTTTTTGTTCTCGTTCACGACCCCTGGGGCATTTCACCAGTCTGTGCATTCGTGCCCCACATTATTATAGCAACCATTTATATTGTATTCAACAATAACACTGGAGCGATACTCAAAGTTCACCTTTCTGTCTCATCAAAAGAAAGCACGTTACACAACAAAGAAAGTATCCGGAAAAAAACCAAAACTTTATGTCACGTCTCTGACCCCTCTCCTTTCTCATTCCCTAGCCCCAGTTTTCCCCACTCACCAAAAAGAAACACTCATGTCACTTACACGTTAAAATTCTTTTCCAAAAGAAGAAACACGTGGTTATTTAGCAGTCGGTAGGAACTAGCCCACATATGTCTAATCAGTTTTCCTACATGATTTCCTTACCAAGCCAGAGACCACGAGGAAAGCGGCACAGCACAGAAACCAAGGCAGACAGCGTGCGTTCATGCTGCAACTTCCAGATGAAAAGCGCACACTGTGAAGCCCAAAGTAGACTCCACTTTTTAAAAGGTAAACATCATAACATACAGCCTTTGATCGCAGTGACCCATCTTGCAGGCCAGCTCACTCTGCTCTAGGAATACTCCCATTCAAGGAGGTAAAGTCCAGATCCTCAGCACAGTTCTGCAGCGAGCTGTAGGGAAAGGTGTTTTTTTTTTTTATTACCTCTTTCTCTTTCTCCTGTGTCAATATTCAACAGCCAGGTGCCTGGCTGAGATTGGTCCATAAAATAAGTTCTCTAATATCTACCTACTGCTCCCTAAGAATATGAAATGCCACGTTAACAAAAGAATATACCAAACTAAATCACCATCTCAATCTTTCTAATAATAAACATTTAGGAAGCTCCTCTTTATATACTCCTGTGCTGTTTTAACACCTCCAGTTTTGTCCCCTGCTTTGTTTATCCATTGCTTTATTTTAAAATGCATTGAGCTATTTTAGCTTCATTAGTGAAGAATGCCTGCCTTGTGCCCTTTTACAGAACGGTCTATAAGGATTACAACTGACAACAGCGACTCAACAGATGACGCCAGAAGTTCAGGGGACAGTGAGTTTGTGTCCAGGGAGGGAGGCACTCAGAAAAGGAGCGTTCGGAATGGTGCACAGCTCAAAGAGCACGGTCAATGTCACTGACTTGTACATGGAGACTTGGTTAAGGTGGTGTGTGATCTACTGAATATATTTCCAACAGGAAAATAGAAACTAAGTCACCAAAACACAAAAGTGAAAACTCGAGTGCTTCTTATTTATGGCATTGCAAAGGTCATTGCTATGCCAGAAATCTGGCCTAGCTGATACTCAGATACAAAGGAACAAAATAGCACTATGACTCAGACTTGACAATTCCCATCAAGAGAACTCGGGTAGTGGTAAAAAACAAAACAAAACAAAAACTAAGAATGGTCACTGGATTTCTAATAAAATAATGTTCATAATCCATCTTGATTATTTCTGGGGTTTTCCGTCTTGTGTTAGCTCCTATCCAGGGAAGCCTGCTTTCTAACTCCATTCCATGTGTCTTCCTCTCGCCTTCCTTGTGTGGTCGGACAAACATCTTGAAAGATGAATCTTCTGTCACATTTTCTTTCCCACTCTAGCTTAATATTTATCCTAGTCTGCACTAAAGAAACAATGCGGTGATGGGGGTGGAAGGGGGGTGGGATGGTGGGAAATAAATAGCAATACAGTATGTACAGTATGGAGGGTGCTATTGATATCAATGAATTACATAGATAATAAGGGCTGAAATATGAAATCTGTTATCTAACCACAGTTTTTTAAGCATTTAAAATAAAAGGTTAGAAGAAAGAATATGAAAAGGCATGTAGCATAGATAAAATATTTGGGAGAATGCTATACAAAAAAGTCATTTCTACCATCTCTGGGTAAGACAAGAGTTAAAGGGTTAGATATTGATCCATTTCTGATTTGCTCCTAGAATCCCCCAAATAATTTTTAAAATACAAATTACAAACATTTGAAGGATATTAAGCCAACTGCTGAAAACAGAGAATACCAGAAAGATATGTACCGGTACTTGTGTTTTATTGACTATATAATCAATGCCCATGAAAACAGCAGTCAAGAGATGAAATGATGGATTTTATTGGGTAAATCTACTGCACAAGACCTCTGCAAAGTGTTGAAAAGCAAGGATGTCACCTTGAGGACTGAGGGGTCTGACCGAGCCGTGGTCCTGAAAGCGCTGTGGACCACCAAAAGAACCAACACATTTGTTTGGGAAGAAGTACAGCCAGAATGCTCCTTAGAGGAGAGGATGACGGGCCTTCACCTTTGGAACTTTGGACATAGTATCAGGAGCGACCAGTCCCTGGAGAAGAATAGCATAGTTGGTGACCAGAGGGACAGGGAAAAAGGAAGGCCTCAATGAGATAAATTGCCACTGTGCCTGCTACCATGGGCTCAAACAGACAATGCGAGGCTGGCGCGGGGTCGCTTCACTATGGTGCAGAGGGTCGCCACGAGTCAGCACCGGCTCCACAGCACCTAACATCACCATCATGAAAACTGACGGCATTTACGCTGCGCGTCTGAGTTGGTGTGTGTGTGAGAGAGCTGAGATTTGTCCCTCGACCATCTGACACCATTCTCTATGTTGGGACTGTTGAAGTCTGTGCTGAACCCTGGCTGCGCTGTGGACAGAGTCAAGCGGGGAAT